CAAACAATTAAATAAACATAGTTTAATATTTAAAATTTTAAAATAATTACATAATTTATAATTGTATTGTCACTACAGAAGCTTCACTGACTCTTCGCTTCAAGTGAATGTGACGTCATCTCACACATTACAGCACCCAAATTAACATGAATGTCGGAAACATTTCTCACGTTATTGTTTAAACAAGTACAGTTCTTACCAATTTCGGCTGTTGTATTATTCGTTAAATTGTTGATTGTAATGTATAACTGTTTCTGTATTCTGAGAACAATGAATATTAAATATTGTATACGTTTCTCCATGTAATCAATTTTACTTTCTTTAATTAATGAATAAAGTTTAAACATGTAATAATAAATGAAACACGCGATATGGACATTACCAATCATATTTTTCATCAAATTGAGATTATTTTTCTTAAATAAAATTAAATATAATTACTGAAAGGTGAAATAACGGTTATATTTCGAATATACCTTTAAACCAGGCCAGTGATTGCGCCAGGATCTGCCCGACAAGGAGGAGGGGAATGAAAGCCTTAACCGGGTGGGGGAAGGGGGCCTAGGCGACTGAAGTGAGCCTCGCTTGGGCCTGGGAGCTTTTTTTTTTTATTAGTTATTTGATAGGCATCAAGCTACCTTAATATGACTTTATGTATTTTTTTAATGTAGAAATTATCCAAAACCGAAACGTTTTCAATAAGACAACGAGAAACAAAGAGCATGCAATGTAACCAACTAACTTATTTTCAAATCCGTTTTCTATTTTATATTATTTAAAAAAAAAAACCCCGTATTACATTACAATACTACCCTCCCATCATGGCGAAATCCTGGTTTTTCATAATCCATGTGATTGTGAATTATTAACAACATAATTACGAATAAGAATAATGTCTTACTGTAAATTGTAAGGCAACTAATTTGTGACATTATGCTACGATAAATTAAAAAAACACTACGTCACAGTACAAGCTTATAATTCAAGTAAAGATCTAAATTTTTGAAATTCTGCCTAAAATCTATAAATCAGGAGGTTGTTTCCCCGGTTAAGATGTCTTCCAAGCATCATGAGAATATCCAAACGAACATTTGTCATAGTAGAACGTAAACCATTTTAAATTAGTCTCATTGAACCATAGCAAAGATACAATTTCAGTTTTTAAAAAAAACGAAACAGTTTCTTTGCTCTATGATTGAAGAGGGGCGGATCCAGAATTTTTCAAAAAGGAAAGGCGCAATTTTATTCCTTTTTTTTTTTATTTCAATACATAACATTAATATGCACTGACATTTAAAAATATAGTGTCAAAACGCTGTTTTGACACTTTCTACTGACGTTCCAACTAGATGTTTGAATGTAATTAATTCACTGTGAAGAAAATCTTGTTTCATGGGCCTAATTCAATGTGAAAAGTAATAACTTATGTTATATTAATATTATTATTATTATTATTATTATTATTATTATTATTATTATTTATTCATTTATTATTTATTTCATTATTGTTGTTGTTGTTTTTGTCATTTTAATGAAAAGTTAACATAAACAGTACACAAATAGGTCAATGGAGGGGATATGGTTGTTAAACGAACAGACATGTAAAAAATATTTTTTTATAAAAAGAGATAAAATTTTTTTTTTATTCCCCGACGGATTGTACTCGTCTTCCCCGACGGATGGGGTGGGGGTGGGGGCTAGGCTTCCCCAACGAGGGGGATATACCCCCTCAGCACCGCCCCCGCCCTCCCTATGGCGCCACCACTGAACCAGGCACACATAATTTTATTTTTGGCTGACGCGATACCAAGAGGACCGCAAATACGTATTGTTTTGCATTCACACATGTGGGATGGATTCGCCTTTCGTTATCAACCGACCGTCGGCGTCATATGTTTTTTTTTTATGTCTAGGTCACATTCTTGCTGAGTTTTTCAAATAGTCTAGTCGGTTTGTGACTGTACTGGTCAGTCTAAAGTGATGTGCAATGCAACCAAACTTTAGAACAGAAAGTAATATGAAGACAAAATAAAATATTATAATAAGGTAACTTTAACGTGCACACAAACAAATTACGAAACTAGATTTACATTTACCTATTTAAAATTAATTAATTTTAACGTGCCTAGGCTATAAAAAATATATAAACCTCACGATACTTGTATTTGTTGTTTTGACACTGAAGGTGTCTGATGCTATTAAAAGTATTTTTGTTGCTTTTAAATCCGTCTTTATATTATACCTTACCCCTGTTTCTTAACCAGTGGCGGCGCCAGCGTCTGAAATCTGGGGGCTGGGGGGGAGGCGTGGCAAGGTAAAGTATTAGGGGGAAATATGCTGGGGTGGCCCCGAAAAATATGACAATTTATGGGTTAATTTAATCGAATTTATAGATAGATAGTCATCTCGAAAACATAGTGGAAAACACTGCTGCATAGCGGCCAGTCCCACAAAGGAATCAACTTAAGAGGTACTCCCAGTCAGGTGTAGTATCGACGAAGACGAAAGCAAAACCTAGAATCAACTCTCATGGTTGCACTGTCGCCAATCTCTCCAAGGAAGATAATTAAAATTAGGCAGGAATATACCTCACAATAATAAGACGCACCAGTTAATAAATATAATGTTTAAAATAATTAGTTGCTTCTTTGCTTTTTCAATTCATTTGAGCATTTTTAGGAGTGGATGGAGACGTACAATCCTCTTTTTAAAAATTTATATTTGCCCTGTCAGCATCGCCCTGGTCGACTCTACACTAGTCAAAAAATCTTCATTCCTTTAAATATTTCAACATTATGAGTGTAACAAATATTCTCCACAATGGCGGGTTCGATGGGTACCTAGCCGTCACCCTCCCACCTAATTTTTTTTTATTATAAAGAAATTATATTAAAATTTAAATTTAGAGTGTCATTTCCGGCCATCTTGAGGTGCCTTAATCATAAATTATCTTACCTCACCCCTAGTCATGGTGGGGCTGAGGTGGTATTAATACCATATTTCTTATGTGAAAGCACTTACCGGGGCCCTCTATTTCACACCTCTGGATCAGTCATTCCTCCATATTATGAAATTGAACATTCAGCAACACAATATCAAAAGTCTTGTGTACTTTGTTAACTAAAATAAATATCGAAACAATTTTTCACCGCTACTTTGCGTTCGATTGAGTCGAGGTTGTGGGCCTCGTAGTCAACAGATAACATGACAATATGCATTGGGTGGCAACAAAATGAGCATTCTAAAAGTGGGTCGCCACCTAAAAAAGATTGATAAGCAGGCCTTAGACTGTTTGAGAAACTCACCAAGAATGTGAAAAAAGCAGATGCAAGCACAAACTTTCTTTTAAAAAAAAATGAGTAGGCCTATAATGCTTTAGATCGTCATATACCTGACCTCGGAATATTATACACATTGCTTCCTTTGGATACTGATCTTCGGTATTTCCCACGAAGTGATAGGCCTATAATTTCCACATAGTATCCCGTATTTCATCGATGACAATGGTTCTCTTGTTGTGACTATTATGTGACTAACTCGTCTATTATAG